GTGCTACCTCCGGAGAGGGGCTTTATGAGGGTCTCGACTGGCTCTCAAACAACATTGCTAACAAGGCAAGTACTGTACATGTGTTCATCAGACAATATCTCGATGTGCTTTCTGCATTTGTATTTGTTTTTCTAGCCGTTGGGTTTCTTACAGTCTCTCCCTTCTTGCAGGCATAATGCTTTATGGAATTGTTGAGTTGAAGCCCGGTTTTTATCTAGTCTTATACCTATAGTTTGTGTGTAATGGATTTTAACACTTGTCTTGTGATTTTTGTTTAGGGCGACTTATGCTATATCACATTTTATATGATTGCAAACATATGTCTACTTATATAATGCTATTGAAACCTCATCTGATTTTGATTAAAATTCTTTGTTTTTTTAATCCCATTTTTAATTTTAATTTTGTTATTGTTTTTTATTGCACTTTTTGAACTTTTACTATGAAAAATGTGTGATTGACAAATCTATTTTATTTTTTACAAGGTATTTACTCGTTATTGAAGCTGTCTCTTTCTTTGAATTAAAATTACATGATTTATGAGGCTATGCAACATCTTTTCTTTTTGTATACACACTATTTTCCTATCACAATTATGAAATTCCAAGCCACATTTATGTATTTCTCTTTCTAATATTTTTTTACTAGTCAAAATAAAACAAGAGTATTACTGATATTTTTGTATGAAATTATATAACATTTATAACTTTGATGGAGAGAATAAAATAGAAGTCACATAATGAATTCCAAATTTATTAAATAAATGTTAATTTTTTTTTTTTTATAATGAGTGAGCTTGAAAATGCCAAGTTTCCAGCCCAAATGGTCCAATTCTATTTTCCTCGTCCTTCCCTACTTTTCAATTCCTAAAGGGGACCGACCCTTGAGAGCGAGGAGCACTTGCAAATTCGTCTCATTTGTTGTGTCTTTTGACATTTGTTCTTAACAAAGATGATCTCTAATCCACGAATGAGACTTTACTATCACAGCAGCTCATTTGTTTTGGTCCACGAATGGGAAACGCACCACAATTAAAATATGAACCATTGCATTATCTTACAATATTTTCAGAAAATAGTCGAAGCACGTTCACATTGGTAGTATTTACTTCTAATTTTTCTCAACCAAAAGATTTTTTACTAAAATTAATTATATCTTTCGTCAATTCATCTTCTTCCTCACCCTTATCCTTATCAGTCTAGATCCCCTTTCACTATGCGTCCACCCTTTCCGTCCCCTTGCTCTTGCCCTTCTCCCCTAGATTCTCGGTCTTCCAACCCTCCCCATTGGGGTAACAGTGGGCACGGGAGGAAGAAACCTAAGAGACTATGAGAATATGCTTTCATCTTAGATCCTTTTTTTCTCAATGCAATAGTGCGTCTTTCCAGATTTTGTGTTGAAGGCATTGTGTAACTAGGATCCCTCAAATCTTCTTGAGGGTCAAGAAAGAAGACGACGTGGTTGCAAAAAAAAAATTAAGATTTTCAACAACAATAGAAAAACGATCACTTTACCTGAACTTAGTAAATGATTTTCATCAACGGTTCTTTATATCATACTTCTATATTGCAAACTCTATTAGCTCAAATTACATGCACATATCATCTAATTTTCAAATTAAAATCTCATAATATGGAATACAAAATAGAGAAGGTAGAAAAACACAAATATTATGTCCGAAATGTGACAGTGGAAGATACAATGTATATCCACGGAATACACAAATATTGGCTTGAAAAACTGACAAAAAACCATCCAAAAAATTGACTGAAATAAAGGTCTTTTATCTATCGTTTTAACAGGTCTTTTAACGGGTTTTAAGCTCCAACATAAGTATTAAAAGCCAGTTAGGTCCTCAAACCACTTTGCCTCTGGTGGATGCACTGTACGTCCACCTCCGTGTGGTCCCACCGGCTACGTACTCTGCAGGCCGCCGTGTACTCTGGTGCGTGTTCCTTTCAACGTCGTGCACTCCCGAGGTGTAGAGGATTTTGGCGACAGTGTCTTCAGGCAGTATGTTGCTAACATTATTTCTGACATTTTGGTGTTGTTAGTTTTCTATTTCAGTTATACGCAAAGTGTTGATTTAAACCTGCGATTGTGAGAGACTTTATGGTGAATAGTGGTGGCCCTAAAATGATAAATTCGCATCTCTCGATGTTTACGGACTTAGATTGGTCCGCTCTAACATATTGGTTTATCCCAATTTAAATTTTAGCATTAGTGCATCATCATGTGGGGTGACGTTAAGATTGAGGTTATCGTGTGTGATAACATTACTTGTACTAAAAATTTAGGAATTATTTGCCATATTTGAAGTGTTGAATTTTGACTACGAGTCAGTAATTGCTTTTGTGCTTTAACTGCTATTTAGTCACTGTGTGAGACTACATTGCGTGAAAATTTGAATTTTTGTTGACATATTTTCGTGCTGCATTGATTATTCTGTTAGAAAATCTAGACTTGACCCGTTTGAACATTCTCTTGATACTGAAATCTTGAGGAAATCTAAAACGGTTTATACTAATGCCTTAGAATTACTTCGTGTAACATATTTGTACACATTAGTTGTTCTATTTTTTCAAAATTTATACACATTTTGAAGTTGGAATTTTCGATGGGAAATAAGACTTTTCAATTTGGCAACAAAAGATGAAAGAAATTTTGGTTCAACAAAAAGTTTCAAAAATCGTAGATGGCAAATTTCCTGCAAATTTGACAGGAGCACAAAAAGAAAAATACGATGAACTTGCTTACACTTCAATTATTTTACACTTATATGACTATTTTAAGAAAAGTTGGTAAACTTGATACCAAGAAAGAACTTTGGAAAAAATTGGAAGATTTATATTTGGTTAAATCTACTCCTAATAAGTTGTACGTACTTGAAAGATTTTCCAATTCTGAAATGGATATTTCAAAGGATCTTGATGAGAATTTGAATATTTTCAATAAACTTGTTCAATGTCTGATTCATATAGAAATGTTAAGAATGCTATTAAGTATGGTAAGGACACCTTAATATTCGAGATTGTCATAGATTCTCATAGGAGTAAGGAGATAGAGATTAAGGCTGAAAAAAAATAAGAGGAGTGGTGAGTTATATATGATGAAAAAAATAATGAAATTTAAGTAAATGAATTTGGGTAGAGTTTAAAATAGTAGTGACTCGAATGATAAAAGTGGTAAGAAAAAGGGCGGTTGGGACAAGTCCGGTTGTAAACGGTGTTACAATTGTGGTAAATTTGGACACTTTGTAGGGATTGTCCCGGTAAGAAGGATAAGCAAAAGGGTAAGATGAGAGGTGGGGCGAATGTAGCTATAGGGTCGAGTGATGACCCTAGTGAGGTTTATTGAGAGTGAACCTAGTTATTGAATATGCATTCGTATGTAATCATTTCTGCATGTGTGTGATTGCTTAATTGTGTTGCATGGCTAGGTGTGTCTTTTAATGTGTTTGATATGTGCATTTGCATGAATTTGAAAACAATTTAATTACTTGGTGTAATTGTTTGCATGCATAGTGGGTTAAGATGCATTAACAGTGTGTTGTATGTCTATTGGTGAGATGAGTTATAAATGTCTAGGGATACATTGGTCGTATGTACCGAAGATGTGGAGTGTGACATTTGGATCACGAGTGGAGAAGTGATTAAATGTTGGAATCATTTATCTGTGAAGAGACCCTGATCAAGTAGAGTGTGATAGATGCACTTCTATCACTTTTGTTAGGTGAAAACCTAGTATCCACTTAGGTTGGATGAAGTGATGTGGTGATAGGGGATTATCCTGAGAACTTAGTATTTATAGAGGCTTACTAGTTAGACATGAGTTGAGTGTTCGGTATAGTGAGCATGGTAGGCGATGAGACGAGATATGTGTTCTCGGGGTGTGAGCAACTTGGAATGGGATATGATAAGTGTGGTGAGATCTTTTAATTGGGTCATTTATGCATTTGTTACATGTGTTTTGACCATTTGATTGATGACTTAGTGTTAATCTGTTGTTTTGTGTGAACGTATTTTGGAAAAGATTTATAGATTATCATATGTTACATCTTTATCACATGATTATTTGCTCTTGATTGTTTGCCGTTATTATCTGTTTCTACTTGGATGTTTTGTGACCTTAGCCCTGGTGAGTATATGGAGCAAGTATGATATGCGTTTCGGATCGGAAACACAAGGAATTTCAATTTTATTGGTTGCCTTGATTATGCAAGTATTAACTTTGTGTTTTGGTTGCTTGCAAATTGATTGAGTATCAACGTGGAGATATGTTAGGTTGTAATACTCAATGAATTCCAGCTATGATGTTTTCATTGAATTAAATTTTTACCAACAATCAAGCTCAAAGACTTGACCCGAAAACAACATGGGCCACTGGAAGTAGCTTAAACAATTCATATTGCTCACGGTTAATATATATTACATCTTCGATGGCTTTGAATCTTGACCTATTTAACATTTTATTGGTCCAACTAAAGCCCAACCTAAATTATATATATGGTGTATTTGCCCTAACGGTTAAGTATATGATTTGTGTGTTTGAAAGGAGAGAAATGTGTAGCCATTGAGAGAGGAAAAATCGGCTTCCTTTTCTAGTAAAAACCAGTTGTTAACTTTGTATTATTGCTCCCCTTCGTACCTTTCTTTTATTATTTTTCTTTCTTACCTTTGTGGCTACAAATTATCATTATTATATTCTCCTTTGTGGGTGAGATTGAGAAGCAGCCAAGATGAATATATTGGTTGTGGGTTGGAGTCGTTTGGATTGGTTGTTTGGTAGATAAAGGTAACGTGAAATTGATGCAGATATTCAAGTTTATGAAAACATTGACCATTTGTTGGACAGTCCAAATGGATATTTCTATGCTTTAATGGATTGCTTATGTGAGAAGACATGGCCAATATTCAATTGGGTACTGCTAGCAGTGCCCTAATAAGGTTACTTGGCCTGCTGAGTTGGGTTCACCTCCTCCACTCTATTTCAATGCTGGAATGTTTGTGTTTGAGCCTAGCAAATTGACTTATGAAAATCTGCTTCAAACTCTCCAAATTACTCCTCCAACACCATTTGCTGAGCAGGTAATTAATCTCGTGTGACGTTTACTTTTAAGTAAGAAATTACTTATTTTGAAAGTAACTCTTTGTCTTAATGAAATATTGTTATGCAAATGACAGGATTTCTTGAACATGTTCTTTGAAAAAGTTTACAAGCCAATCCCTCTTATATGCAACCTGGTTCTAGTAATGTTGTGGCAACACCCAGAGAATATTGAACTCGAACAAGTTAAAGTTGTTCGCTACTGCGATGCTGTAAGTATTTTCGTAATATAGTGTCTATAAGTACCGGCCCCGAGATTTTTGGGGCCTTAGGCCAACTTAAAATGGAGCCTTCTGTATACACTTTATAATAGGTGTCCTAGGTAGCAGCCTATGCTGTCTATGGTTAGGGCCATCTGTTGTCGAGTCATACAAAACTTGTCAAATAACACACAATTAATTTGGTTAAAAATCTAATATTCAAGGATCGAAACCGTGGAGGTATACTGAGTGTTGGTATTTTACGGTCCCAAATATAACCAAAATAACAAAACATAAACACAAACGATTTTTCGCCCTTAGGCCCGGATGTTCACCAAAATATGGCTACTCACACGTTGAGCATACACCGAAGTGATTATCGCTCTAATCCACTAGAAACCAACAAAGTTTATCAAGTACAGATCAGAGACCCAAAAGAATCACTCGACTCAACCCTCAGCCCCTAACTCTTTTTTTCTCTCCTTTTACAGATTACACCAAGTAACCTAGATTTCAGCTTACCAAGAAAAAGAAGAATCATAACCAGAACTGTAATCTATACTAAACATCACCAAGATTATCCAACCTCAAGATTACAGATGAAAACCACAAGTTTTCAAAAAGAGAGAAAACTACAGAGAGAAAATATCAAACGAGAGCAAACCCTAGAATAATTGAATGTCAGTAAAAATGTAAGAGTCTCGAATATGTAGAGTCACCATGCTTCCAACGGTTGAGCCAACACCACGTGTCACAATCTCAGCCAATTTGTTTTAACAGAACCAAAGTTGCATAACATAAATGCAAGAATGCAAACATAAGAAGGCCAACCGGGTCACACTCAACAAAAGCAAATGGGCTGATAAATGGGGCTTCATCATTGGGCTCCAACAGCAGATGTTAAGCATAAATATTAACAATCTCCATCTTGCTTGACATCTTCGGGTTTCATGTGGATTAGAGGTTAACACACCCTTCGGTTTCATTTGCTCGAGTACCTGCAAAAGTATTAATTAGTAATAATATTTAGTATATTTAAACAATCCCTAAATTTATATAAAGGAAGTATTTTGATTCCCATATCTGCTGGATTACACTTAGTAGAAATCTTCTCAATTTTGATAATTTCTTTTTCTATAATATCTCTTATGAAATGGAATTTAACATCTATATATTTTGTTCTATCATGAAAAACTGGATTTCTACTAAGATGTATTGCAGATTGATTATCAGAATAAATAGTAGCATCATTACCAGAGAAGCCAATTTCATCCAATAAATTTTTTGACCAAATACCTTCCTTTACAGCATCTGAGGCTGCAATGTACTCAGCCTCTGTGGAAGAAAGAGCAACAATTTTTTGCAACTGTGATTTCCAGTTTATATAGGTGTTACTAACAGTAAAAACATAGGCAGAAGTAGATTTTCTATTGTCACAATTACCAGCAAAGTCAGAATCAACAAAACATTTAAGTTGAATTCCAGTTTCACTTTTATAGAACATTAAACCTAAATTAGAAGTTCTTTTTAAGTATTTCAGCAACCATTTTAAAGCTTCCTAATGATATTCACCAGGATTGCTCATATATCTACTTAAAGTACTTATGGCAAAAGCAAGATCAGGTTTTGTGCAAACCATAACATACATAATTGAACCAATAGCATTTGCATGAGGGACCTTATCCATTCTACTTCTTTCAATTTCAGATTTAGAGCATTGTTCCACAGAAAATTTAAAGTGACTAGCAAGTGATAAAGTAACATCTTTAGCCTCATTCATAGAAATTCTAGTTAACATCTTTAAAATATAAGCATGTTATGTGAGGAACAGTGTGTGATCAGATCTGTTTCTCCTAATCTCCATTCCTAAGATCCTTTTAGGAGAACCTAGGTCCTTCATTTCAAATTCTTGCTTAAGTTTTTGCTTGATGTTATTAATTTCACCAACATCACGGCCAACCAGCAACATGTCATCCACATAAAGTAAAAGATAGTAAGAATTTGGACCTCATTTTCCTTTATAGTAAAAACATGGATCATAATCACTTCTATTAAAATCAATACTTTTAATAAATGTGTCAAATCAGATATACCATTGTTGAGGTGTTCGTTTTAAATCATAAAGTGATTTTTTTTCAGAAAACACACACAGCTTTCTTTTCATTTTTGCTCAAAACCTTTAGATTGAACCATATAAAATTTTTCATCTGAATTTCCATACAAGAATGTTGTCTTTACATCTAGTTGTTCCAATTCAAAATCAAATTGGAAAACAATAGATAACAAAATTCTTATGGAGGTATACTTGGCTACCGAAGAAAAAATTTCATTATAGTCAATTCTCTCCCTTTGGTTAAACCCCCTAGCAACCAAACTGGTCTTGAATCTAACACTTCCGTCCTTAGGGGTCACCTTCCTTGATCTTATAGATCCATTTACAGTCAATGACTTTAACCCCTTTTGGTTTATTGACTAAAACCCAAGTCTTATTCTTTTCCAAGGACAATATTTCATCTTTCATGGCTTCAAGCCACATGTTAGCATTTTTTCCTTCAACGGCCTCTTCATAAGAGGTAGGCTCACCTTCCAAAATCCTTGAATGTTAAGGGTAGTGATAAAATCAGGTTCACTGTACCTAACAGGTGATTTTATTTCCCTTCTGGTTCTATCTCTAGGAAATGATGGTCTTCTAATAGGTTTATGTGATGATCAGGTTCAGTAGTCTCCTGTTCAGGTTTATGCTCCACCTCAAATTGATCTTCATTTCCAGTATTAAAATCAACTGGAGGAAGTTCTGTTTGAATAGTCTTATATTTTGATCAGTTTCAGTTGGAGCAGGCTCTTTACCTTTAAGGCATGGCATGTCTAACTCATTAAAGACAATATTTCTACTTATAGTGACTCTATAACCTCTCTGATCCTTCAGCCAACTTATAACCTTTCACACCTTCACCATACCCCAAGAAAACACCATTTATGGACCTTGGCTCCAGTTTACCTTCATTTTGATGTATATAGGCAGCACAGCCAAAAAATTTAAGTTTAGAGTAATCAGCAGGCTGACCATTCCAAACCTGGTCAGGTGTGTCATAATTCAGGGATTTGGTAGGACATTTGTTTATAAGGTATGAAGCAATTTTGACAGCTTCTCCCCAAAATAACTTTGGAAGACTTGAACTAATTAACATGCACCTAACTCTCTCTAAAAGAGTCATATTCATCCTCTCAGCCAAACCATTCTGTTGTGGGGGTATAAGTGACAGTCCTATGTCTAAGAATCACATTGTCTTTGCAAAAATTATCAAACTCCTCATTGCAAAATTCAAGGCCATTATCAGTTCTAAGGGTTTTAACTTTCTTATTTACTTGATTTTCAACAAGAGTTTTCCAAGCAACAAAGTTTTGAAAAGCATCAGATTTATTTTTCAAAAGTATGACCCAACTTTTCCTAGACAAATCATCAACAATCAAGAGATAATACTTAAAACCAGAATAAGTATTCACGGAAGCTGGTCCCCATAGATCAGCATGCAGGTAATCAAGTAAAAATTTTAATTTATGTGTACCTGTAGCAAAAGGCGGATTCTTCTGCTTACCATATATGCAATGTTCACAAAATGATACATTTTCAATCTTTTCATTTCCTAAGAGTCATTGTTTCTTAAGAATGTGCAGATTCTTATCACTAATGTGTCCTAACCTTTTATGCCATATTTCAGATTTATCAGACAGTGTGGCAATGGCAGCAATGTTTTAATTCTTTTGATGTAAAACTTTCAAAATATAGATCCCATTTGATTTTTCAACTTGAAGAAGTTTTGCAAAATTCTTTTGAAGGATCAAAGTACCTTGATTAATTGTTGTGTTAAAACATTCATCATCAAGTGTGCCTAAAGAGATTAAATTTCTCTTTAAACTGGGAATGTATCTGGTTTTGTTCAGATGCAGTTCATTTCCATTGTTAAGTTTCAAAACAATCTTACCAATACCTTTAATTTTGCAAGAAAATCATTTCCCATTATTACCTGTCCTCCATTTGTCTCTAAGAATTCGGTGAAGTACTTCTTACATGGGGTCATGTGAAAAGTACATCCAAAATCTAAGATCCATTCATCTTCAGAAACTGATTGACATGTCACATAGACTTGTCCATTTGTAGCTGCAACTTCTTCATAAGCTATTGCAGCTCCACCCTCAATCTTATTATAGTTTTTCAATTCATCCATTCTCTTGATATAATCTTTAATATAGTGACACATTTTACCACAGAAATAACATATTTTTCCATTAGCTTTACTATCAAATTTATTGAATTTAGATTTGCCCTTTGAAAAGCTTCCAGTGTGCTCTTTTGATTTCGAAAAATTTTTATTTGAAAATTGATTATTGTTCTTCTTGAAGGAATAATTACCTTTTATGTTGTAAGCCACTCCAGTATTGCAAGTTTTTGATTCACTTTTGAACTCAAGTTCTCACCACTATTTGTGAAATCTTAGGTCAGTTTATTAAATCTGTCCAAAGTTTGTTTCAAGATCACAATTGGAGTCAAATTTAAAACTGAAAATCTGTTTCCACAAGTAACATTTATTGGGAAGAGTTTTGGTTTTGTATAAAGATTCGAGTTTAGTCCAAATTTCAGCTGCCTGCAATAGTAGTGTCACCTACTTCTCTAATCACATTATTTGATAAATGCAGGAATATAGTACTCCAAGCAATTTCAGTTTGTTCAGTCCTTCTGGTTTGAGTGGTTTCAATACCCCAAGTCTCACTAAGGCTTTAGCACATTTTTGTTGCAATAATAATGTCTTCATCTTTTTACTCTAGAGACTAAAATCACCCTTAGCATTCCAAATTTCTATGTCAATCTTTGAACTTGCCATATTATTTACAGTGTGATGCAAACAGTGGTAACAAGTATCAAGATAATATGTGTTTACAACAAAGTACACACCAAGTGTCAAAATGCAGAAAATCTTCACACAGGGAAAACACTTATGCACGTGAATAGAGAAAGAAAGTTGTCATGTAGCAAACAAATCACAGAGATTAATATTTTTGAAAAAACATAAGTTGAGGATAATCTTGAAGGTACCATTAAACCTTGTCCCCTCAAATTCTAGGTTCTCTTATGAAATCCTCGACAAAGGAAGATCAAAGTGGGTACCAACCAAGAAGACTCAGACAACTGATGTGTTCGAAAAATAACAATTAAAATAGGGTTTAAAAATTTGTTACCATACACGTCTTAGTGCAATAGTGTAAAATAATGAAAACCAGACTATTTTACTTTCCACAAAAGTCGAAGATCTAGTCTCCTCTGTACAGATCCGTAAAGGATCAGCTACCAGATTCCAAAGAATGCCCAAAGTTTCAAGTCAGAGGCTTCCAAGAACAAATCGAACGCTCTGATACCACTGTTGGTATTTTACAGTCCCAAATATAACCAAAATAACAAGAACAAACACAAACGATTTTTCGCCCTTAGGCCCGGATGTTCACCAAAATATGGCTACTCACCCGTTGAGCATACACCGAAGTGATTATCACTCTAATCCATTAGAAACCAACAAAGTTTATCAAGTACATATCAGAGACCCAAAAGAATCACTCGACTCAACCCTCAACCCCTAACTCTCTTTTTCTCTCCTTTTACAGATTACACCAAGTAACCCAGATTTCAGCTCACCAAGAATAAGAAGAATCATAACCAGAACTGTAATCTATACTAGACATCACCAAGATTATCCAACCTCAAGATTACAAATGAAAACCACAAGTTTTCAAAAAGAGAGAAAAATATCAAACGAGAGCAAACCCTAGAATAATCGAATGTCAGTAAAATGGAAGAGTCTCGAATATGTAGAGTCATCATGCATCCAACGGTTGAGCCAACACTACGTGTCACGATCTCAGCCAGTTTGTTTTAACAGAACCAAAGTCGTATAACAGAAATGCGAGAATGCACACACAAGAGGGCCAAACCGGGTCACACTCATCACAGGCAAATGGGCTGATAAATGGGGCATCATCATTGGGCTCCAACAGCAGATGTCAAGCATAAATATTAACACTGGGGTCGAAACGAACATGCAGAGAGAAGATATTAAGATGCTAGTGAAGAAATGGTGGGATGTTTATGATGATTCTACACTAAATTTTAAGGCTGAAGACACTGCACAAAAAGGGACTATGATCTCAAAATCAACTGTCTTGGCTTCTTTACCTGAGCCTGCAGTTTCCTACATTCCTGCTCCTTCTGCTGCTTAAAATAAGTAATCATATCTTCAACTTAAGTTGGTTTGGACTCTTTTACTTATTTTAATTAGTTACTAATTATTTTGTAGGCTACTTGGCCTGCTTTTTGGTGTGTAGCTAAACATTGCGCACAGTTTGATACATCTGAGTGCCTGGCAGTGTAGGAATGTGTAATTTTTCTTCTACAACTATTGAAATCTATTTTATACTGGAGTTTTTAACACATTATTCACCTAAATATATAAATAGCTATATATTGTGCTTTTTTTTTTACATTACAAGTTTTCAATATATTAATGATTGGGGTTTCATTTTGAAAAAAAAAAATATTTAGAGAAGTAGAAAAACACTTTTATATTAGTCTACATTTCGGTAACAAATCGACGTGACATTTATCACTAATTAACATGTCTCACGAGATGGTGGCTCATTAAAGTAAATCAATCTTGAAATTAGTGTGCTCGTTTTGAGTCTTGGTAAAATCGAATTGATCGTTAGAGTTTATTAACATTTGATATCATATTAAGATGATTTCATTTTAAAAGGTTAGCTCACATTTGAACATCATTAAAATTTTCATTCTCATTTTTTTTACTTATTTTCAACCACACATTCATCAATAAAATAATATTTTTCATCACATCAATAACTTTTTTTTTTTCAACCACACGTTCTCCATCAATCTACTATTTCAAAATACATTCTCCCAAAATAACGTGGCTTAAACACACCCTTAAACTTGTTAAGAAAAATAGTTCTCGTAATTAACAATGTAAGATGGCCATAATTTAGGTGTAAAATGTTGGCTGGGCAGCCAAGACTCAGCAGAGCCCATCCAGAGAAGTGGGTTGTGTTGGATCTGGCCCTTAGAGGTGGGCCTTGTATTGATTTTTTGTTTTTCTTTCTTGAGAAATTAATTAAAAACTAACAAGATCTTTTTTATCCTATATTTCATGATTCTCTTTCAACATTTATGACTATTACAAAATATCTCTTTTCATTTTAAATTTTATTGATGCCTCCTTTGAAAAATAGTAATGAATCCTGTGAAAAATATGTGAATAATAATGAATAATAGTTATAAATATGTAATTAAAATTAATTTTTTATGACTAAATGTATAAATTACTTAAGACTTACTTGACGAATGGAGTCTAAACACGACCAAAAATAAAACCAAAAACTTTATAAAGCATAAATTCAAAACAGATCGAGTTCTGGTAGTGATAAAAGTTCACCTTTGTAATCCGACTCTGTCCTCACTTGGATGAGCAATCTAACTCTCGTCATCGATATAATAAATCAAGTAATTTCTTAATCATGTGTCAAACCATCTTGTTCAAAAAATTGGAGAACTGCCCGAACCAATCGGTAGCTGAAACTCGAAATAGTGGATGTTTCGTTTAAAGAGAATGCTAAAGAAATTAAGAAAATAATTACACTTTAAACAAATTTATTTATCACTCAAAAGGGATTTACATTTCTTGTTATTCCACCATTTAAGTTGGTGAAAAGTCCCATCAATCCCGTCCGGTAAGGTAAATAGGACCTCCGGCGACCCTCTTCTTTGGCTTTACTTTTCAAGTACACTTCATGAGCTGACAACGACGCCGTTTTACTCTTCACCTTCCCGTTGACTTTCGCCTTGGCCGGCGGCGGAGTATTGCTATTGTTCAGGAAAACAAACGCGTCCCTCCCATCACTGTTACTTCTCCCCATGGAGTCCTTGAACCTCCATGTCTTGGAGAACCCAGTTGAGTTACTCTTCGTGCACACCTCCCGCGCCGGCGCCTCCACCTCCACCACTTTGATGTCGTCGTTTCCCGACGAGGATGAAGTTACCCCATCTTTCGTTTCAACAAAAACCTTCTTCACTGCTGGCCGCATAGGCAAATTCTCATACAAAATCTTCGAATCTTGATTGACTAATGGAAAAATAGGCTTGATTTGACCATTAAGGAATGCATCTTCCGCTGCTATTGGTGATATATTAACTCCTTCAGACATAAAAGTAAACTCATCTTCCTCTTCCTCCTCCTCGTCTGAATATGAGCTAAGCTTCATCTTACTGTAAAAATCTTGACTCATCTCTGTAAATTCTTCAGAATAAACTAAATCTTGAACTGGGTTTTGCTTCTCTTCAAGATTTGTGTCCATATTTGAAAGAATTTGTACGTACAGAGGGAAAATTGAAGATACGTATGGGCTGAATGAGGGTAGTTGGTTGGGGGTGCAAGAATTTATAACGTTGTTGAACTGTAAACAAGAAACATCTACTGTGTTGATGTGCGCGTTAGCATTAAACTTTACACAATTATTAACTAAACACCGCGGCTGTTGAGTTGAATGGGGCAGAAGAAACAAGAAAATGAAAGTGGGACGATGTGGCTGCGTTTGTACCGAGATGTTGCAAAGTAATTAACTTTTTTGACTTGTGGAGAGGACTCGGTGTTTTTTTCTAATTAGTACTAACCCACACGTTTAAAATAATTTTCTTGAGTTTTAGGGTTAAATGATTTGGTTGGGTTTGATACGTTGTATTTGATACGTTGTCATTTTTTATTGCAAGAAATGGTGTATCTTTCTAGGTCTATTTGATACTTTCCTAATTGATTTGACGTGAAAGGTTGGAGCAAAGGATGAGTCCAGATGAATTAAGCTAAATTTACAGAAAAACGGTTCACATGGCTATTACAAGCCCCTCACTGTTGAGGGGCTCCACATGTATTTAAAAAAAATAGTGCTGCGCGAGCCCCATCTTTGTGTGATGTCTGGCTGTCCCTTGTGAACCTGCTGCCTGTACGTGAAGCAACATTCAATCTAGATTAGCCACCGCTAGGGACGGTCCTGTGATTTTCGGAGCCCAAGGAAAACTCCCAAAATTGGGCTCCCCATAAAATCAACGTAAATGCAAAATTCAATAGTGTATTATGCAACGTATTTATCATTCAACTCATTTACAGTGTTGCTTTTAGAGTACTCGTCCATATCGTCTGCTGACTTTGAGTCAACAAAATTTCATTTTGTTTCCTTTTTCTCTTTAGAGCTCTGGACTCATATTTAAGAGGCATGATGTACGAGTCTATATCTAATGCCCAATGATTAGCCTAAAAAAATAATTACACAATATCTCAATCATCTCACAATTAAAGTTTTCAATACAGTTACTTTGTGCACTTGTGCAATTGATCCTACATACTACAATAAATATTCATATAAGCCGACCAAGCCACAATTATATAAGCCGACAAGGCCTCAAACATTTTCAATATCAAGTTAGGACAAGTCATTGCTTACTTGAGAAGTAGAATTTCGAGAAAAATTATGGAATCGCACTCTTGAGAATTTCATCGTCACATCTCATAAGTCTGAAATCAAAATTGAACACAGACGATTGAAGTCAAATAATCTTCTAACACGAAGGCCTGAAGTCAAACGTATGTAAGTATACAAGCATGCTCCATAGCTTACAAAAAAAAAAGGTTGGGCCAAAAAATGAGGCCCCTCTAGTTTTGGGCTTGAGGCCTCAGGGTCGGCCCTGGCCACCGCCAACACCAACACCATTTATATAGGGGTGCAACAATTGAAGTTTTTCGAGTATATGATTTAGCAGAGTGGGAATAAAAATTCAGACGTATATTAAGCTGAGAGTTAGTATCATTGCTTACCCCCTTTGATGAAAAATGCAACACTTATATGGGTGAAGAGAGATTGGGATTTCCCTAGTCACATCAATCTCCCGTGATCCAGCGTGGTATGTGAGCCACTCAAGTAACATGTTGAGATTTTGATTAGATGAGGACTGTCTGCAATGTTTCATAACTAACTACTTCGTGCCTAGGTTATTTGTCGAAAGTTTCTCATTGGTGGATTTGGACTGCCCTCCCTTCAACTTGGGGGCACTTTGTCGCCAAGGTAATGATCATTTTAGCTCAGTTTTTACCTTGAGAGAAGCAAGCTCGATGTTACCTAAACATGTTAGTAACCCCACATTTACTTTCTACATAGTTTGACTAGATAAAAAGATTTGTGACATCTACATCGATACTCAACTATTCTGTACTTACAATATATTTGGTTGGTGACTAGAGGTGACCCTCCTATTTTTGGTGAAGTATCAATCCTGCATGTCTGGGTGTTTTATATCACCATTTTTTTGGCGTAATAGCATACATGTTGTTCGGGTCGCTAAGTAATAAATCTTATCTAAACTATCCAGATAACTTTAAATTAAATCATAAACAAATTAATGATCCTAAAAGAGAGAGTGCGTGTTTGTTTGTGAATCAGAGATTTCTTGTAGGCGAAGTTTCATGTTCATTTGAAAAAAATAAAATAATAAGAATAGATATTGACATCTTACCACGTAGTTAAGGAACGAGGTAATTTTTTAAAATTATTAAAATGATATTAAAAAGAAAATATAGGTATTATTAAAATAAAATATTAGATATACGATTTTTTATGATCCCATATAAATCTGGAACAGATATATTTATATTTCAATTCAATTAAACTATTGTACTATAAAATTATATTAATAGGATTTAAGACTAGGTAAATGGTAATGTGTTGGCTTTAATCAGTATATATATATGACACGCCCGAACTAGCATATTTGTATTCAATTCGATTAAAATTAGATTTTTAGTATATTAAAATAGTCGATACCAATCTATTGACATGTGTAGTTTAGTACTATTGAATTTTCCCTACTGAATATGTACTGAATATGTACTCGACACACATTACACACAAGCCCATCCCAATATGGGCCGATGTGGATTGGGCCCATTCAAATAATTCTCGGCCTTATATTCTTTTGTACAAGTGACTATATCACGGGTCGTATAATTAGGCTTCTATATTGGGCTGATCTGGGCCTAACTGAACTCTTGAGACCCAAGAATAAACTATTCCACAGCAAACCAATTAATGATTGCTTTCTTAATAAAGTCTTTGTATTGTACACTTAAAAGTGAGCGAGATTCATCAATTTTGGTGAATTAGTTTGTGCCGACCAGTTTGATTCGATTTTGATAGATTCAAAATCAAGTTGGGACCGACTAGTTCAATCCAATTAATACAAGAACAAGTTAGAATTGATCTTTGTGTACCGTACACGTATAACGATATAGAACCGTTAAACATGACAAGACAAATTAATCGTTGATTTCAATCGATAAATAACATGAAAAGAAAATATCGATACAAACCAAGATAAAAAAAAAAACCATCCGTTAATTAATTATCAATAAAGGTATACCCCGACCATGACTTGTCTAGTAAAGTAGATTGTACCACATTTCGTGCATCAAACGGATTCAAACCCTACACATTATCAGCAAATCTCACTTGACCTTTGAACCCTACCTTTGGTCCTCTGGGATCTCCG